GCTTTGTCCATGGGCAAACACCCCGCGTTTCACTGCCAGGACAGCGCAGAGCCCCGGTGCCTGGACAGCTCGGTGCCCGCACTGTGGGGCACTGGGAACAGGCCTGGAAACGTGCTCGTTTTGGTTTGGCTTTCCTCTGCGTCCAAGCCAAGTGAAAGCTCTTATTTGAACAGGAAGCGGAGGATTCTCCCAGCAGAGAGGCGAGGGGATGCTGCAGCTCTGCAGTGCCTGCTGTCAGCACCCCACGCTCGGGGGCTTGGGCAGAGCAGCTAAACATGAACCTGTCACTGCTGCTCAGCGGGAACTCTCTGCAGTCCAAATTATCACTCATGTCTATCCAGAAGCAGACTGGGCCTGAACTGGCAAGAGGTGGTTCTAGGGAACGGCCACTTCTACTGAGGGTCACCACAACTTCTCCCTGAACGCACACAGGGATGTGACGTTACAAAAGGAAATCACCCCGCACACCTCCCCTCAGATTTTCAGCTTTTAAACACTGATGCCACCATCCAAATCACAGCCACCCCCAGGAGATCACCCATCCTCGTCAGTCCCTTGCGCCCAAACGCTGCCCCAGGACACCTCTTTCTCTGCTTTGAGAGCCAGACAAAAAGAGCTGAAGCGCTGGCCTGTCACTGCCCTGCTCCCGCCACTCTGCTCTGCCTCTGACCTGTTGCAACCTCCCGCTGCTCTATGGGATCGTGTCGTACTTGGTGGTGCCCCTCTGACGTGCGCAAACGGCAACAGACGTGGATTCCGCCTCTGCTGCCTTTGTTTGCAGACTGAAAACGCCAATAACCTGCACAAGTCTGCAAACACCACTCAAAAGCGGCTCTGTGCTGCTATTGATCACCTTCCTGGAAAGCACAGAGCACATCAGCGGGTCCTGGGGGCACAGGGCGGGCGGAGCAGAGCAGGGGAGCCGCACGCTTCCCGTCCTGCCAGCCTGTAAGACTTACACTCACCCCTAAATTGAGAAGGGGAGCCCGCATCTGGTCCCAGTTGGGAAACTGAAATGCGCACGATGGCCATAAAGAAAGGCAAGAGGGCAGCCCCAGCAGAAGCTGCTCTCCCAGAAAAGAGAAGGGTCAGCCACACTTGTCCCCCCACCTCTCTAATCAAAGTGCTTGGACACCCTGAAAGCAAAGGACTTCCCAGTGTTTCACCTAGGAGAAGCGGAGGGATAGCCCCAGAGCAAGCGCTACTACACGGTGTAAAGCAGGGGGATGGAAGAGCCACTGCAGAGCGCTCCTACCTGGTACAACCTGATGATATGTGGGTGGCACAGCATCTTCATGATCTGAACTTCTCTAAATATCTTCTTCAGGTTCTCTTCATCCAGCTGGGTCTTATCGATGATCTTTATAGCAACCTAGAGAAAGGGAAACAGAGAGAGTGACCCGACTGCACATCAGGAAAAGCACTTTAAAAACAAACCCCGCACACTGGCTCTTGCTGTGAACACGCTGTGTGCAGCCGGACCGGTGTGGAAGCTGCCACGCAGAGGGGGAACAGCTTCCAGGGACCGAAATCTGGTGCACCTCTCACTTACCATAACAGGACCGATAACTACGGTACAGGGGGGTTCAGCCTTCTACCAAACAACCGAGGTCTTTATCTATCCATTTTAAACCAGAAGTGCTCTATAACGCTACAACAAAATAGTTTGAACAAGTCTGAGTGCTTCCAGTCAGCTGCTTTCCAGAAACTCCCAGCCTCTAAGAGTCTTCTCCTCCACCTTCCCTGGTGCTCTTTTGGGCACAGACACAGACAGTGAAGTCCCCAGACTCCACACAGGGGGACACTTCTGGAAACTCCACACAAGTATTAAGGAAAGGAATCTTTTCCAGAAGCCAGGTGTAATGGGAGAAGAGGCAACGCCAGCGTGACACCTTGCTGGAGCAAGGGGCTGAAACGGCTGCTCCACTGGCAGAGAGCGCCTGCACTGGTTCATCCGACGCGGGTTTCAGCCTGGCGTTAACACGAACCTTCCTCCCCACCAAGAAACACCAGCGCGAGCGAGCAGCTACGGCACGCCAGCCCAGCACGAGGTGTGTGGGCTGCGTTACCAGCCAGCACCAGGTCTGCTCGCTCAGAGACGGCCCTTTCCCAGGGAAAGGAACCCCCTTTGCACATCTTCCGCTGGCTGCTTTGCTGAAGCGCAATTCCCAACACTTGTGCCAAGGAGGCTGCGCAATCCCGCAGACGCACGGGGAAGGGCGCGCGAAGCAGCGCTGCGGTCCAAAATGCTGAGGATGCACAACCAGAAGGGTCTGACGCGGGAGCCCAGAGCCCAGCCACATAAATGCTTTGCCTGCAACAGGCTCCATTCGCTGGGGATGAGGACAAGTGCTCGGCACAGAGCCGTCCACGTCCATAAACCCACAGGGCACACGATCCCACACATGCACTTCTCCTCGGTGCCAAGCCCCAGTGCAGCGCCAAACGATGCTCCAACAGGCACGGGGCTGTTTGGAGAGAAACACGCACGAAAAAGGGATCTTTAGGGTCTTTGAGGGAACTATCTGAAGCCCATGGAAATTAAGCTTCATGTTTTATGACGCAATCCTTGGCAGGGGACTGACTGCTCTGTGTGTCAGCAGAGCACAGCCGAATCCCAAAAAGGCACCAGTTCACCGAGCTGTTTCTTTCACCGCCCACCTCCACGGAGCACAGGAGCGGCTGCAGACCCGGACACCGAGCACGCTTCCCGCACGGGAGCAGGAGCTGAGCCGCAGCCAGGTCTGGCGAAACCCCAGAAGCCCGTGGGGAGGACGGGGGCGCCAGCCGAGGCGCAAGGTGAAACGGCAGCGCCAGAGCCCGCTCCGCCAGGCTGCCAAGCGCTAACGGGCAGTGATTAATGGGGTGACGAGCGCCGCTGTCCCCTTCCAGGCTGCAGCTCCTCCTCTGCCCGTTTCAATAGCCACGACTCCAGTAGGTCTGCACAACACAGCTCCAGAGTGGATTGGGAACGTGAGGAGAGCCCGAGGGGGCTGGGAGAGCACTTGCTGCCTGCTCCCACCAGGGATTTTCCCTGCGAGAACGAGCGTTTGTAGGGCTTAACCCAATACTTAACACCAAAACCTGAGAGGAGCTTCCTCAAAGACCGAGGCCGAGATGTCTACCAGGAGACGCGAGTCATTTTCAGGCACAAACACAACCGAGACTCCACAGATCGGGAGTGTTCCTGCGCTCCTTACTCATTTCCCAGCTCTGCATTGGCTCTGAGGAAATCTCATTTCCCAGGTTAATTACATGGCTGGAGCTGACACTGCTGGCCAAGGTCAAGGTATGCAGAGCATTTCACTGAACATAACTCGGTGAGCACGGCCAGACGAAACGGGAGAACTGAGTTATCCTGGTTTTCTCCCCAGTAACGCAGGGCAGGGAGAAGCTGCCGCCTCACCTGCCCGCAGCTCGTCCCCCTGCCGCGCTGTGTCCCTCACACGTGGTGCCCTCAAACTCCACACCCACAAGACACACAGGGCCTGGCTCAGCCGCACAGGAACACCCACAGCGGCCAAAGATTCTCCTTCTGAAGGACCCTGCTCCGAGCTCAGCCAGACGGGTGGTCCACCAGCAAACCTAAACCCATCCTCAAAAACGAGGAGACCTGGCGATTCTGAAGGGGTTTTTCAAGGTATTTTCATTGCAATCAAATGCCTTCAGCAACTCATCTCACCTAAGAGGTAAAAGTCTCCAGAAAAAGCCAGGGGAAAGCACCTGGTGCTCCGGTTTCAGGAAGTGCAGAGCTCCCTCACCAAGAAGCAAGGGTGGAAGGAGGAAATACCCCGTGCTCACTGCGGAAGGGAAGCGCAGGGGGTCCTGGGGCTGCGCCCTGCGTTTCACCAGGGCTGCGCAGAGGGGCTGCGCCTGGTTCGGTTCACAGCTCTGCTCCTTGGTTTCACTGCTTTTTCCAGAGGGGACGAGTGGCTCAAAGGCTTGCCAGAACACAGCGAGGCGGTTTCTCCACTGCTGTGTTTCCCGGCTGGCGAATACTCTCCCATCCCCTGAAAAGATGATTCAGGGTTTCAGCAGCAAGCAGACCGGCTCGGGGCCTCTCTCACAGCAGCCAGGCTGACTTCGTCTGAGGCTCGGTGGCAGGGACACAGCCACAATGGGCTCTGCTCTGCGCCACGGACGCTTTCCTTCCTTTGGGACGGGCCATCGGCCCGAGCCTCCAACCAGGAGAGAGCCCTGTAGCTGCCCTCCTCCTCCTCCTCCTGCTGGGCTTTGCTGCATCCTCCACGCTGTGGATGCAGGTTTATCCACGGTGCAGGTTCAGCTTATCCACAGAAGCTTGCAGCTTTTGGTTACAGTTTGCACGGAGAAAGCACAGGGAAATCGGCTTCCCCAGCCGAAGGGAGCACCAACGTTTATGGCACCACTGGAGCCAGCGCCCTGCACTGTCAGTTATGCAAAAACAGTTTCAGGTAGTCTCATGAAACACTAAAAAAACCCCAAATCGAGTGCTTACAAACACCACATGAAATAGAAAGGGGAGAGCAAGACTAAGCGTCACCAAATAAAACACAACTCTGGCTACACGTGGAAGAAAACCATGATCCAATTCCTTAAACAACGAAACACTATAAAAGAGGAGTCTGAAAAATTAACTGTTCTCGTCTCGAGCGTGAACGAAGCTCACAGGCAGCAGGCAAACGCCAAGCCTGGAGCACCAATGCTGCTACCAATCAGCACAACGTGCTCCCCAGTTCTGAACGCTTCATTTCTCCCTCCTGGCTCCAAGCAGAACTCACAGCAGCGACTGAGGAAGAAACGTTAGGTTGGTAAAAACAACAAAAGGAAAAGGTGCCAAAGGGACACTGAAAGCCACTGCAGAGCCCTGGCTCGTGCGGGTTATTTCCCAGTCTTCCCTCTCCCACTGCACCTCAGCTGAACACGGCTCCGTGTTTTCTGGGTCCAAAGCTGTGCCGAGTGTGTGCACACGGCAAGGGCCCCGTGAGGAGCAGCGGAAAACTTGGCTGCAGAGGAGCTCGAAAGCAGAAGGAGCAGCTGGGGAACTGAAGGAGCGGTACTGAAACCCTGAGGGCCACGGGGGCACACGCAGTGACCTCCGGTATCAACCCGGCACCACGTGGGGGGTCAGGGGGGTCAGAAACCACACTTCACCCCAGAGCAGCGAGGAGCCTTCACTGCACCCCAAATCCTCCAGCTCCCGAGGCCGGATTTCACAACCCGGCAGCCACCGGACATCGCGCTCAGGGTGCAAGTCTCCGAAACGGGGCACAGGTCCCGGCACAGGAGAGAGCAGCCCCTCGCAGGACTCAGTCGATACCGACATCCTGTTTACCAGCGGAGCGTGGCTAATGTTCACACAGACTTCCTTGAGCCAACGCGGCCCTGCCAGCAGGACGGGAGCAGACGGCTGGGTGTCCAGGCAAAGGGGCAGGGGCAGGAGCAGGGCAGCCACTGCCTCATCGCTGCTCCAATGGCTTTGAGGGGGTAAAAGAGAAGGGGCAAGAGCGGGGTGCGTGCAGAGGCCCCCAGCCACAAAACTGCGAGCGTTTCCTTTTGCTTCTGTGCAGCGAACAAAGGAAGGAGCTGCAGTCCCTGTCCTGGGCTAACATCTCTTACCTCATGCCCCACGTTCGCTTAGATCCAGTTATAACCGTAATTAAACTATAATTAAAGTTTCCTGCGCGGACGATCATTCCATAAGGAAACCACCTTTTCCACTTCAGTTCAGTTGTTTCTATAGCAGCGGAAGTTAACAACGAGGTGTAAACCTGCTCCTGTCGGCACAAGGCCACGTGAGCAGCGCGATCAGGGGCAGGTCCTGCCAGGAAGCGTTCCCGTAAGTCTGCAATCGATCTCCTCGGCCCCGCAGAGCCCACAGACAGCACCGACAAACCGGCTGCGTGGACTAAACCCAACGGTTTCTTGAGGAAAATCACGTTTCCTAGAATTGTTGTGAGGCGCCACCCCCCTCCTCCAGACTCCTCCTGGAAAACCCTGGCAATCCACGGCAGGATTGTGTTGGAGGTTACCACATCCGTGCGGCTGCGCTGCCCCGGCTCTGCGAGGGCGCGTGGCAGGGTACAACCACGTGAAAAGCTGCCTCTGGTGTGGGTCTTGGGACTCAAAGAACCATGGAGAAGGGCAATCTACATACAAGGACAGGCACCTGAACTCCTCCTACACCTACAAGCTGGGAAGCCCTCTGCTCTCCACCCGCCAGAGCCAGCGTCTCGCTGTGCTGACAGCAGGAGCTGGCCAAGAGGAACCTCCCCTTCCAGCGGCTCCTGCCTGCCTGGAGCACTTGGCAAGCTGGGGAGCGCGGCAGCTGCTGCAGAGGTAGAAATCACCCCAGTAAGCAGACACCAAACCTGCACAGGACATGGG